CGATGAGGTCTCCCCTGAGCCTCCTTTTCTCCAGGCTAAACAGTCCCAGTTCCCTCAGCTGATCCTCCATAAGATTTGTTCTCCAGACCCCTCACCAGCCTCGTTGCCCTTCTCTGGACACGCTCCAGCACCTCGACGTCCTTCTTGTAGTGAGGGGCCCAAAACTGAACACAGTATTCGAGGTGCGGCCTCACCAGTGCCGAGTACAGGGGCACGATCGCTTCCCTACTCCTGCTGGCCACGCTATTTCTGATACAGGCCAGGATGCCATTGGCCTTCTTGGCCGCCTGGGCACACTGCTGGCTCATGTTCAGGGTATTTTTTCCTGGGTGTTTCCTAAAACTGTGCTAATTGGGTGGGGATTGCACAAGCCCTGCAGACCTTCAGGCTGTCTCCAAAGCAACCTCGCTAAATCCTCACCACCCCATTACTCATCACCACCCTGACCACAGTAACTTCTGCAAAATTCATTGCCTGGTCCTGGATCCCAAAGGGGTTCCCAGGTTTATGCATGAGCCAGCCCGGGGCAAGCAGGGACCTATCAATCAGATGCGAGTTTTACCCTCGTCCTTGCCCTAGACTTAAAGTGCTTTGGGACCGGGACCTGTTTTAGCTTTTTGTGAACCACGATGGAGAGGAATTTGGGAGCTTTGAGACAGAGATCAGCAGATATTCCTGCTATAAACCTTTTAGCTGATTTTGTCCTCATTTCTGATTTTAGAAGATTTATTAGATTACAGTTTTGGATTTATTAGACTACTGTTCCTCCTCTAGAAACCTGCAGAGACCCTGAGCAGACTGTGTAGTGGGGTCAGCGGAACTGCAATCAGCAGCTTCCCGACTGCCACGACCCTTCGGGGGAGCTGTCAGGGACCTTTGGGGACCAGCAGGGACCTCTAATACATGAGAGCAAACCAGAACCAATAACTCTGTCCTGGCTGCTGAGTTACCATCTCATTTTACACAGGACAGCTTACAAGGATGTGCTATTTATTATCTGCCTGTCTGTGTAGTGGGGATTTTTATTAATTAACTAACATTTGCTAAGACATTATGATGGTGGAGGTGAGATGAAGTAAAATCATTAAGCTTGGTACTCTAATTTATTACCCACAGAGCTCTGCAGATGAAGAACAATTAATAAAGCACCATTGTTCATAAACAGCAATAAAAATTAATAGAAATGTGGTACTTTAACTTGGAACACTCAAGGCTTTGTTCATGATGAAAGCCGTGCTTGTCTCTGTCTATTCAACAAAGCATTCAAATACAGCAGAAGAGCATTTTCCTTTAAAGCAGATGCTTAGAGCTTGACTCAGCACAAACCTGAAGCATGATCTCCACTTCGGGCGCAGGCTTGACTCCTTCTCAGTGCACGTAAGCATGAAAAGCCTGCCCACACATTCACTGAGGACAGAGAGAGCTTCTTACAGTGACTCCATTGACTTCCACTTATCTCCCAAAGTCTTTGAGATTTCATTTACTTTTTGCATGTGCTACATGGATGCCGTGAAAAAACTTCAGTCAAAATCCCTTCCTCCTCCCCAGGAAAGGGTCCTTGCAATCCAAACATGCCTACAAATAGCCTACCACATCAACTGAGCTAAAACAAAATAGGTCTTTCAAGAATGGGAAATTAAATACGAAGTGCAGAATTTCTGGTTTCACATCTCGTGTGTTATTAAGCTAACATTTTAACCACATTAGAAATATAAATCTTCCTGATCAGCTGGCTAATATCCCATTATGCATGCCCCTTTGGACATTAATTGCTAAGCTAGTGATTCATTGACTCAGGGACATTTGCCTGTGCAGTTTGCTCCCTGACCTGGCCGCCACATCCATCCAAGGAGCAGAGCAGCGCAAGGGCTGTGAGTTTAAAACTGCCTCCTCAGTTGTATAAAACTGTTCTTGGAAGCCCAGACAAGCAGAATGATTCCTGAAACGCACTCACCTGGTACGATGACACACAGCCCATCCCAACCAAGCTGGCTGTTAAAATGCAGGTGAAAATGTGGGTGGCTGCAGGAATGCATCGCCCTGAGAGAGGATCCCCTGAGTGCTGAGGACCACTCGCTGGAGTAACATCACCCCAAGCAAAGTGCCAGTGGGTGAGTGCAGTAACGTAGCATGCAGGCCAGCACCGTCCTGTTATTGCCATTCCCTACCCATTTTCCATTACTTATACTTGGTCTGGAAGCAATTTGGAGGCAGGTCTTTTGGTTAGCATTTGTGCAGCACCTGCCCAGGGAGATCCTACCTCCCACTAGCTCCACGATGAAGATGATGATGGCACAAGACTCCTGGGCATTTATGAAAGGGTCCCTTCCCAGGACCATGCTCAGACTCGTGCCACCTCTGAGCACACACACTCATTTTAGCTGCAGTGCTGTTGTGCTCAGAGTTAAGCCTGTGCCTAAGTTCGTCGCTGAGGAGAAGCCGAAGACGGGAAGCAGTGAAGAAGGTGGCAGAAAAAACCATGTGAGTTAAAGTGCGTAACAGAGACACCAGTAAGCAATATTGTTCTTTAATATTGACAAATTTAGATGGCAGCTCAATTGTTAGAGCTGGCCAAAAGGCTTTCAGGAGAAAACTCTTCAGCAGAGGGTTGCTTTGTCAACAAGTTTTTGTTTTCAGGTAGGAAGGCAGGGCTGGAGGAGACCTTCTGAATCGGCAAACAGGTCTCTTGCATTCACGAGCTGTCTCACATCTCACCCCTACCTCCAAATGTGCTGTA